GGCGAAAATCCTGTTGACTACTGGCTTCGCCTTAATAAAGCAGCAGATATAGCTGACGAGTGTCTCAGAGGGCAGGGCAGAAGAATGGACAATTTAAATTCTGAAGTTGCAATGATGTTTGTGAGAAATTGCCCAGACCCTGATCTAACGCGCACTTTTAAAGTATGGCCGTTAGAATGCTGGACTGCAAAAGATGTCCAGGAGCTTTTGGATAGTTTCCAATGTGAGCTTAAGCTAAGATCAAGCACCCACGCCTACCCAGTCAGCCAAAATGCACACACGACCATACAGAGCTGTGGAAATTCTAACGTTGTTTCTGAGTCTACATTAATGTGTCTCAAGCAGGGGACCAACGGGCCTGGTGAGCTTAAACCGGATGCAAATGATCACTCCAGTCTGAATCGGATGGCTGACATGCTGGCTCAGCTGATTGAAGTTTTAAAGGCAAAGGAGGAGCGTAAACCTGAGTATGTGTCTTCTGGGAGAGTGCGTAGAAGGAACACAGCTGGACCAAGCAACTGTAAGATTTGTGGCGACACAACGCACACTACAATCGACCACTGCAGATCTGATCATTTGTGTTTTAGATGTCATGGTGCTGGTCACTCCAAACGTGACTGCACAGCGAAATTCCCAAATTCGACTTCTGCAATAATGTCACCCAACAGTCAGGGAAACTGACTCACCCACATTCTGAGAGGGGGTGTGTGGGTGATGTTGAAAAATCCCTCAAAGTGGATACAGATTTGGAAGCTTTGTTCAGCTCCTTTAAGAACATATGTCCTGACTTCCAGAAAGTCGTCTTTCAAAATACACAACGCGTTGAATGCTCAGATACACTTTTTTACACACCTGTTCGTATTAATGATTCATTCACTGTCAGTGCAATGTTGGACACCGGCTCTATGGCCTGTACGTTAAATGATTCAGTTGTCAGTAAACTAAGGGAACATGGTGCTTTGGATACTGTTAATGAAGAAGATACAGACGTCGTCTTAATTGGATGTGGCGGCAAACGAACATTTCCAAAGTGCATGCTTGAGCTTAAGCTGGACATTTACGGCTGTGACGTTATTGTCCCTTGTCTCGTTGTTCCAGGCCAAGGAGATGATCTCATTCTGGGGACAAACGTCATCAAACATCTTGTTCACAGATTAAAAGATTCTGACAGATATTGGGAACTGATCTCTACGCCCAGTGGACATAATCCAGAGAGTGACGAGTTCTTGTCTATGATGGCTGGTGTATGTCGATGGAGGGGCGGAACTATTCCAGATGTTGTTGGTACAGTTAAACTTCAACATGCAGTTACACTTTCGCCTGGCCAAGAGCATCTTGTCTGGGGTAAACTCCCTATTAAGTCCTGTAGCCAACCGGGCAGTACAGTTATGGTGGAGCCATCTAGACTCCGTTCTGCCTCCAGGAATGTTCTAGTGTGTCGTGTTGTCACTCCGCTTTGGGGCGATGGCTGGATTCCACTTAAGTTGATCAACCCTAGCGATAAGCCAGTAACGCTGAAGCGAAACGCCAAAGTGGCCGACGTTTATCCCTGTATTGCGTTGGAGGATGTGTGCGAAACAAGGCCTGAGCTTCTACTTCGATCGAGCAGTCAGCAGTCAGCAGCTGAGTCAGATAAGTTGTGTGTAGGAATTGCTAAGATGAAATGTAAAAGGCACTTACTTCATTTGAGTCATGATCAAGGAGGAGTGATATGCGCAGCACTTTTTCCTGTCAGTTCTTTATATGAACAGTTGCTACTGATCAAAAGCATTATGCTAAGAATGGCAATTCCAGTTTGTGTTTTCAGAAGGAAAGAAAAAAAAAAGTTTTGTTTGTGTTTTGGTTTTTGTGTTTACCACATTTTGGCAAATTCAGTGGGGGAGAATGTAACGGGGAAAAGAAACTTGTAATGAATTGTGCCAAAATGATTGTTCATATTGCAAAATAATTCTAAGATATTAATTGAATAGAATGTATTAAGTGCATCTAAAAGAAAGGGATATGGGGACACCTACAGGTGACTAAGGAAACCTATCAGTGGAATCGGCCATTTTCTCCTCAGTCGCATGAAAGCCGTTGAGGAGAATGGTAGGTGTAAAATCTCTCCGGTCGAACAGAAATAAAATGTTGTCAGAGATGATTTTATTTCTCTTTAAGGTCAAAATTGTTATTTTAAAAGTATTTTATTTCATATTTGAGTCATAAGAGATACAGAGTTGACGGACAATTGATGTTTTATTCCGAACGCACTGTTGAGTGCATTAGGAGCACATGGTATTCGTTGTGTTTCTGTCTCTGTATTTTCTCGTTGCTTATTTTCACGTATATTTATTTTTGACAGTTATGAGACCGAATGAGCTGTATTTCATGTCTGTTTGGTGTCATTTCATATATTCCAGGTATGATGTACTAATGTTCTTATGATGTTATATTTTCTATGTTCAGAAAACAACAGAAAAAGAAATTGAGCTCTTAATTATGGAAAAAACTGATTTATTGTTTGTTGAACTGGTAAATCAGTCGCATGAAAGCCGTTGAGGAGAATGTTATGAGACCGGATGAGCTGTATTTCATGTCTGTTTGGTGTCATTTCATATATTCCAGTAAATGCGATGAGTGAGCTCAGCCTACGTCTCCGTGTTGTCCTTTCCGGAAGGGTCGAAAGAAAGAACCAGAAAAGTAGGGTTACACTTACACTGTTGAGAGATGCACAGACACAAGAAAAGTAATTCACACTCTTAAATCTCTTTCTCTGTAACTTAGTTGTTAACTGCATTAGTCTGCTTTTAACGTCTCAAGCCTCCGATACTAGGTCTAAAATGACGTTTTGGAATTAGCAGCGGAGTCATTGAATGCGATGCGTAAGAAATTAATCCTACTCACAATAGCATTTTAAATTAAAAAACTGGACAAATGCCTTGAAATATATCATCTGACTGATGTCTTTTTGTAGTATCCTTTCTGCAATACTTTATGAACTGCACCCCAACATAAAGTATTGCAGTGTGGTAACAGTAGTATAAGCGGAATAATTGACTCTGGTCCGCTGAATTATTAGAAAATAATGCACACCCCCCCGTGTAACGGCCACTCCGCTTCAGTCGTGCATGGCCACATCACCACCTCGGGTGTGCATTATTTTCTAACAATTCAATGGCCCGTCAATTATTCCTTACATATACACTATGATGATACTTCATTTTTTGATTTTGTTAATGGCTATCGTTAACTGTTTAGTTATCAACATCCTTCAGAATATCATCTTTTGTGCCGAACAGATGAATGAAACTCATGTTTGGAACAAATTGAGGGTGAATAAATGATGACAGAATTGTCACTTTTGGGTAAACTATCCCTATAAGTAGCCTATACCATATTTTACGTTTTAGAATTCTTCACCGATTTAGAAAATTAATGGGAAAAATCATTCTGGATACAAAGCCCCTGAAAAAGTGGTCTCTACTGCGATGTTGAGGTCGAGGTTGAGAAGCATGGTTGAGGTCTCAATATGAGTAATTTCTCTCTGGCTACAAACGGCATTAATGATAGTTAATGTCATTCATTTTTGCAGTGACTAACATAGTTCTTTATGAATGCTGACATATACAATAAATTCAGAAGCCTGTTACTGTACAGAATGCAGTGTACAATTCAGTCATTGTATGAGCCTTTGGCCGGCAAGACTGCCAGAGTGGGAGAGAGAGAGAACACTGAGAAATGACATCCTTCAACTGATGTGATTTTTCACTTCCACATTTAGAGTAGCATTACATACATGAGGTTGAAACTGAGCTCCGCTATACTTTCCCCTTCCCATGAATTCATCAAGACATACTGCACTTAAACTCAACTGCCCTTCTGGGTATATTAATCAAATCATAAAGCCTTCTTGTTGGAGATTGTAACATGCGGTTGTATTATTTGGCAAAATATACTGTAAGCAACTGAAATATTGTGATTAATCTGGAAACACCTAAAAAACAAGGGCAGTGTTGAATGCTTACAGACCTTTTTGGGATGTGCTTTGGATAAAATGCAGGACAGTCTGTGTAAAAACAACTGGGTGTTGAGAAAAGTGGCTTGCTGTCCCACAACGCTGCCAAAGACGTAAGAAGTGGAATATTCCCCTGGAAATAACTTTTGTGTGTTGTCTATAAGTGTATATCTGGGTGTGTGTGTGTAAGGCTGGTTGTAAGAGGGCTTCAACAACTTGGGATGCCCAAAAAGAGGGCTAAACGACTAGCAAAGTACTGTGCTTTGTCTGCTATCACAGGCAGCCGTCATATATGGTGGAGACGTTGTTATTTATACCCTTAACAACTGATTGATATGCTTAATATTGTGAAGATCTGCTGTATCCCACTGGTTCATGATTGTGTACATGTATTTAACTGCATCAGTTTAAGAAGATTTAAATAAATTGTTCAAATGTGTGTGTGTGTGAGAGTTAGAAACATACTTCATGCAAATGTACAAACCCAGATGCAAATGCGTGGACAATGCATTGCAAGTGTGCGAGTGCTACGGTAACAAACCATAGAATTCAGGCAGACAGTGTCATTTTGGTGATTTATATTTTTAATCTTTGTTTTTATTATTTTCAATCTAATTTTAGTTAGAATTTAGACAAATGTTGTTGTTGGTTTTTAAGTTTTTAATTATTTTTAAACATGACCATAATATTAATTTAAGTTTTAGTTATTTTAATACCTCGAGTTAAACTCAAAAAGGTGTTTTGTATTTCATTTCAATGTTATATTCTTTATGGTTTTAGTTTTAGTTAATAACCTTTAAAAGGCCAATAAACTAGATATCTTGCATCCAAAGGAAATTCTAGATGGAAAAAAAATCTGAGAATTTCTTTTCTCAGATGTCTTGTATACACTGAGAAAAATCTGATAATTGGAAGTCTCAATTTGAACTTAATTTAAATCTAGTTGATGTCTAAGAGAAACAACTGTGACTTTAAATAGGTCTCATTTGTGATTTTTCTTTGGGTTGCAATGCCATATGCAACATAATTGTCCTGACACATTTCCAAAGGCAGCCATGCGTACATCTGAGCTTGTATACACTCTTAAAAGGTTATTTATTGCCATTATAAGAACTTTTAACATCCATGAAACCTTTCCATTGCACAAAAGGCTCTTTATAGTGAAAAAAAGGTTCTTCAGATTCTTTCAATGTTCTTTACTCCAAGAAAAAAAAATCTGTGGAAACCCATTTTGGAAAATTTTTAAGAGTGTAAGAAACATTTATGTTCACATTTGCATAGAATATGACTTGGGCTTTAGCCTTTAAATATGTAATCTAGGAGGCGCAGTAAATATTTCTGAAATTCTGATATAAAACAGTCTTCATTTACCAACAGCAAGCCAACTGAGCTTCCATCTATCCTAATCCAGAGTGCTGAGAGAAATCTGTGAGTAATTTCTGCAGTAATCTGTAGTAGAGATCTACTGCACTGAGGGCCCAGAGCCAACACGCTACACCAAGGGACCTTTTAGTTCCCGTTCCCCACACAGAACAACTTATTAGTGCAAAGAGAGAGAAAGACTGATTAGCCAATCATGCCATTAGTGCAGTCAGGCCTCTGGCTGAGCACTCCCACAATGCAACAGGCCATGTAATCCAGGCTTATCAATGATTAGGATAAGTATCAATAATGAAATCACGCCAGTCACTTGAGAAATTGTGGGGGGTTTATCAACCATGAAGGTCCACTGGGGGTTTGGGAATGGGTGGCGAAACATGCCACACACAGATATTCTAAATGATTAATCGAAGATCTAATAATGAAACTATGCCTAAATAATACAAAAAAAGTATGTCATCAACATCTTTTGCTGATCCTGGATCAACATAACTGTCCAAAAATATAGACTTAACCCAATCCCTACCCCTAAACCTAACCCTACCCATAATTTATTCCTAAAAACAGTGTGAAATGATAGCTGATTAACAAGGGTGTAGAAGCACCTAACCCTGATTGTAAGCCTAAAACAGATATTTCCTGAAAAGTTATCCCTCAATTCTGATTGGTTGATAGGAATGTTGTTCCAGGATCAACAAGGATGTTGATCCAGGAACATATTGTACTTGGTGAAATCACCGTCACCTTACTTTCCAATTATCATCAATAGGAAAAAAAGCAGAAACATGAACATTTTAGGCAATTTAGAAATTCTGACCAGGACATGTAAATTAAATTTTAAGAAAACATTCTTTACACTAAAATGGAAATGCAGATTAGTTTAAGAATGTGAGTGAATTTATCAGCATTGTAGAAGTCATTATTTTTTCACATTTTTCCTTTTTTTTTTTTTAAATAGGCCTATCTAAATCTTAATATTTTAAGATTTCTGGACTCTGACCAATTGAAAGTACTTTCCCCCTGAAAGTACATGTGAATGATGTTTGTGTGCGAGAGGGTCATTTCACAGTGTAAACAAAGACATTTTGATGTCAAACTGAGTTTAGTAGAACCCAGACATTTTTGGCAATTTAGAAATCTTGGGCAGGATGTGTCTGGGAAAAAAGAGGTACTGTAAAGTATGAGTCCTTCAGAAATACATGGGCATACATTCTTACACATTCCTCTTCATACTCCCCATGAGATTGAAGGGGGATTTCAGCATTCTTCACGACCGGACCGGAACATTACAAGCACTCCATCCATCCAGAAGCAAAATTTACGCCCTGCACTAATTCTCAGCAACAACCATCAGAACAATTTCCCATCTTCATCAGAACATTAAAGTTTCTTTGTTGAATTTTGCCAGTTCAGATCCCCAAGCAGTCTTCCCCTCGCCTGTGGCACTGCACTAAAAACAATCACTGTTTTGACAAAGCAGGCAGAAAGATGCCCTGATATCTGCTGTTTGTGTTTTTTTCCGACGTACAGTATGCAACCGAGTACAGGTTGTTTTCCAACCAGCCCTGAGTAAATTCGCTGTAAATAAACAGTGTGGCAGTCTACATAGTCTCACTCTTCCATAGGTAAACACTTAACGGGAAAAATCCATTTAACCACAATTGCACTAAAAACATGTAATCAGCCAAGCAAAGTTTTCTCTCATTCTGTAATGTGTTTATTTACCCCTCACTTTTCACGATTGGCAAGCGTCTGTGCATAGGATTATTATTATAATTTTTTTCTTGACCAGACAGCTTGATTCTTTGGTGCGGCCAAGGTTTTTTGCAGAGATCTGAAACATATGAAACACATAAACACACCATATAGTACAGTACAGTGACATTCAGAGGTGTGTCTGCTCTGGTTGACATCATGCTAGAATAGAAAAACAACTGAAATACATCTATATGTGAGTGTTTATCTTTGAAAAGATGACGACGCACGAAAGTAATGTAAAGCCTATGTGTTTTGACAGCAACTTAAGATGAGGTTTGGCTAAAATATAAATCTGAATTCCACACACCAACTCTGTTTATTTGTTTACAGTGTGTCATACAGTATAATCTACATACCTCAGCAATGACATGTCGGTATCTGTCAGGAAACCAGTTTCCTCTGAGCTTCCATTCCTCTAGAATCCAAACGTAAACATTGTGCGTTCGGCTAGAGATCATTTTGTTTGTTCTTGGGAGATCATAAGTGGGATTCATTCGTCTACTTCCCTAAAAAAAAATATCTTTTTATAATTGTTTCTCCTAGACAAATAGTTCAACATTTCAGTATGTACTCTATAATCAAACTCTTCCAAAATCAAATGATCCACATTGACTTTGCAGTATAGCTCTGTATTCTTACTCTATGCCAACAACTGTCTCATTTGCTCCTATCTTTATTTCTCCTTAGGAATATTAAATCTAAGACAAAGCTGATGAAACATAACTGCGAACTCGGAGTCTCCTGAGCTATGTGAGAACAACCTGTTAACAATAACATTTTCCTTTCTGTCTATTTGCAGCTTTGAAAATATCAAATGTAACTTGAGCTGAATTAATTTAAATACTTCAGAGATTTTTATAAAGACCCCAGTGTGAGATGTCTCTTTGCATGTGGAGCAAAACTGATATGAATTTTTAGGAAAAAAGGAGAACTAAGGCGGATGGAACGGAGAAAAGGGGACAGCAGAAGGGAGATTACATGCTTCTGACCTGCAGGGGATGTTTGGGAAATTGTTTCAGAGAAAATTTGTTTAAAGAGAAATGTCAGCCAGCTGGTGGACACACTCTTGCTTGTGGCTCGACAATGGGGGGAACATTTGTGTGTGTGTGTGTGTGTGTGTGTGTGTGTGTGTGTTTTAGCCACTAAAAGATGTCAGAAAAAGCTGCAAGGTGTTCTGAGTAATGGTGCAGGTGTTAAAAAATGTGTTTAGCTTTACATCACTATGACCTACAACAACCATACACCAGCTTTCATGTGACTCATGTGCAAAAGCTCAAAACAAATGCCTTCACATTAATAACAATACGTTAACAAGAAGGGAGATGAGCTGCATGCAATGCATCATATATGGGCAAACTATTCCATGTTTCACATGGAAAGGATTAACCAGATACTGAAAGTAAAATGTTGGCTTTGATACTTTAAATATGTGCTTGGGGTGTTTAGAAAGATCCTAATATAAACTGACAGGAACTACCCACTGGTTCAGAATAAAGTCATTTATTTGTATTGAATTCTGCTTTAAGGCTGTGTTCAATGTCTCACCCAGACGAACACCCCAAATGAATGTCTGCCCTGAGACATTGGGTGTTAACGAAAGCTGTCTGGATAACAAAACTAAACCAAAAAATGCCAAGAATTTTGCAGGAACACACATACAAACACATGTTGTTCTTATAAATCTCTTATAAATATGAACCCAGAACAGTACTTAAAAGTGACGTGTATAATGACAGGTTTCCCAAACACACCAGAAAATATCCAAAAATGTAGTCCCACACCAAACTAATTCCATTGGTTGAGCCGATGTTGCTGTTTTGGACTCGCTAGGATGCTTTACACTTGTTTACATTATGAGGGAATGTTACAGTATGCACATTTGTAAGAAACAAATCCAGTAAGAAATTTTTAACTTTAAACTATGCTTCTGGCTAAAACACAAGTCCTCTACACATAATATTGCTTTCTCCAGTGAAAAAAAAGTAATCTTGTCTGAATCAGGAGAGAAATATGCACAGATCAAGCACTGTTTATAAGTAAAAACGGTCCAAAACAGATCTAAACAAATATGTCGGTGAGATTTGAAGCGAGATGACAAAAGGGATGGACTTTTTCCACTGGAGGATGGATTATGGACTCGTTTTATGGCCAGAAGCAAGTTAAAATGTCTTAATGATGGATTTGTTTCTTACAAACATGCAGCTTTTTGCTTCACAAGACATTAATTGATGTACTGGAGTCTTTTGGATTACTTGTGGATTATTGTGATGTTTTTATCAGAGTGATGTCATGCTAAATTTCTCCAAATCTGTTCTGATGAAGAAAGAAAGTCATCAATATGTTTAGTAGAGATTTTAGAGACGAGTAGATTTTCAGCAAATTTTAATTTTGGGGGGAATTATTTCTTTAAATGAAATAGGTGTATTTTACCATAAAAGAAATTACACACTTAACCTGTTAAAACACATATTTCAACCTATCATGCCCACACCTTAAACTAAACCCTCCAGCCCTTTGAATAAACCACAAAGATGGACAATTCTTGCCACAATGTTCCCACAGTCACAATCCACACTCGTCAGGGTGTTCACCTTTCCTTCCCATCCTTTCCCCTCTCTCAAGCTCTGATTCCACCCATGCCTTGGGCTTTTCCACTTTGGCATGGAACCCAGTGGACACTTTTCCTCGTGAATCATATCAAAGCCATTTGCTATGATTCAATTACCCTGTCAGCTGAGGGTATCCATTTTCATTTGCACAAAACCTGAGATGATTTGCTTGCAATGGTATTCCACTGAAAATAACACACTTAACCTTTCTGCCTTCTTACTAGTTTAATGTGTGTGTGTATCTCTCATAATGCCAATCATATTACGTCTGCATCTCCATTTAATTAGTTTGAATATCCCCAGCCTCTTCAAATCAGAATGATGAGACAGCTCCTGGGACATTCCTGCATTATGCAGTACCTTTTGAACTCTCTTACTTTTACATAAAGAATACTGTTTGTGCTGTAATTTAGGGAGGCATTTCTATAAGGCCTTCAGAAATATGTTCAGGTCAATGTCAGACAATTAGCGTGTATTATATTTTGATAATTTTATTCATTATCAAGACAAACAGCATAATGCAAGCCTAACAGGATGAAAATAAAAAGGTAATGCTAGCCATTTCTAAGTGATGATTATTAGCTTAAATGAGAGTGTCATGTTGAACTATCTTTTGATTCTATCATATCAAATGTAAATTAATCAAACATGAAGAAATGTTTTAGAGCAAGACAAACAAATTGATACCACTACATCACAGAATCCATTAATTCCATTGCTAATACTTACTAATGTTAGTGCTGTTGGTTTCCCTCCAAAATTATGTCACTTCCTGAAGGATGATGTCACTAGAAGAAAAACATAAACTTAATAAAATAATAAAATGACAGTGATATATAAGACACAGGGGGAAAAACTATAAATTAAAATATGAAAACGTTTGTTTCAAAACTTTTGTTTTGGATTAAAGAATAAAGTAATTAAAATTATTTAAAATGCATATCTATTAAATATGTCCATCTTTTTTATTTCATTATTTTAATATTTTATCCTGAAAATAAAGACAGATGAATCATGAAAATGTACTGCACAATATCCTCCTTTTCAGTCCTCCAGTCTTTACTTCTGTTGAACTGGCAGCTGTGCAGAGGCAGTAGGGCTGCAGTGGCAGTAGGTCAAAGTCCCACAGCTTGTGACAGAGAGGAAACGAGGGTGAGAAGCATGGGATCGGCACTTCCTGTCAAACTAGTGACTGACAGACACCGCAGTGGGCTTTGTCCTCCTCCCACTGGTACTTACTGACTGCTGGCCCTTCTGTGGCCTGGGCGTTGCTATGATGGACAGATCTGATGCCCAAAACTGGAAAACAAGGCAGAGACACAGATAAGAAAATAACTTTTTTTGCAGTGTACCATATACCAAGTCAAGTTGAGTCAAGTTTCAGCATTAAACGATGGCTGCAGGGCAAGGAAGTGGAGGAAGAGAAGTGTTAGTAACGTAAGGAAGAATGGTCAGAGCTCACAAAGTGAGTGTGAATCCTGAAAGATACTCATACAGATACAATACATGCTTTGTATGTATTACCTCAATACTTTCCATTCAGTTGTCTCATCTGAAAACAACACTCTTCCAATCAAAAAGATGCCTCCTAATAATCCTCCATGATCTACAGGATGAGAGTTACACCCTACATTTAAAAACGAAGGCCAAAATGTTCTGTATTGGCAAGTACACATTCATTTTTCATTGCAAACACAGTTTTTGCCTAAGGCAAGCTGTCATTTGCCAGAATTTTACTGTGGAGGGATTTCAGAATTAAGACTTCATTACATAGTCAACTCTACTAGTAATTTAACAAGATAAGAACATTGTGACCCAGCCCACCAACCAATCTCTCTCTCTTTCTTTCCTTAGAATATGTATCTTACTGTATTCTTCCGTCCGCAGAGATTGGCATCTATGGGAAAGAGAGCAAGTATGAAGCATACTGTAGTATATTCAGGGTTATACGCAATGCCTGTGGTCCAGTCTAACAGCTTTATGCTTCTCTTGCCTTATCGGACATCTGCACTCTAGAGGGAAACTGCACAGGCCGTCCATAGCTGCCTGCCAGTAAAATACATTCGAGTACCTGTAACCAGATCTGTAAGTTGAGTGTGATAACTCACTTGCTGTGTTTTCTTTCTTAAAATAATATCAAAATGTCATTGATCCCACAGGTAAATCTCAGGTTTATTTATTATATTATTAACGTTTATTTATGTATGAAGCAAGAACATTACTAAAACACAGATGAGATTTCTAAGTAACACATCTGTGAACAGAACCAGTTTCATATGACTGTTGACTATGCATACACTGGAAAAAATGGTGTAGAAACAATTTTCACTCAGAAATTGCTAGTAAATGTAACAATTATAAAGAAATGGCAAGTAACACACTTAAGCATGAAATTTTGCAGTAGAAAAACTGAAATAGTATTTTCTTGTAAAATGCCCTCCAATAATCTGTTTATTTACAACTTCAAACATTATTGTATACAGGGAATGGTACTGTAAGATGTATTATTTATTTATTTATTTAAAATAAATTTCAAATGTAATTTAGTTGTTTTGTTCTTTTTATTTTAATTTTCTTTTTATTTGTTTTAATAAAATATTTATTTATTTATTGTGTATTTAAATCAAGTTTTATTTAATTTAAACAGTTTATTTATTTACATATTAATACATTTATTTATCAGCTATTTTTTATAGTGTATGCTTGACATAAATACAAATGATTGTGTGGGTTTGTGCATGCTGAATGCGTGTGTGTGTGTGTGTGTGTGTGTGTGTGTGTGTGTTCCACATTCCTCACATGAATCAGTTGGACTTGTAGCTGTATCCTGTGAGAGGCTCTAATGACGGTAGTTTGTAATTGTGCTCAGTGGAGTGGGGAGAACTGTTCAGCGATAAACTGTCTTTCCCTGGTTAAGTAAACTCAACAGGTCAGGGGGGAATTGTTTTAGAGATGTAAACACCAACTGAACGCAAATGGCTCTGACACATTTGGGTGTGATCAGTTTTTTTTGTGTCCCATTTTATATTTTTACAACCCCAGTACAGCCAAATTTTATAGTGACTGACAGTCAGCCAAGTGACTTATGCTGAGCTTTAGACCTTCAGGTCCTCATTTAGCTGAATACTACTCACACCGTGAGGATCACAGTATGAGGATCGTGTGAACTCACAATGATTTCATATACTACTCACACCGTGAGGATCACAATATGAGGATCGTGTGATGTCACTGTGATCATCGCATGATCTCACGTGTTGACTGGGTAATTATCAAGAAATTAAAAATGGGAAAGTATGCACTTAGTTATTTTAAGGCCTGTTATGTCAAATAAATGTTAAAATGTAAATGTATGAAACATCACAATTGGATATAGTAGCATTTAGCTGCTGTCCTGAAAAGATATAAAACAACAGTACTATTTCCAGACAGCATTTATAGATATTTTTTTAACATCCTTCTATAAACTTAGAATTTTATGAATTGGTCTAATCCAAGCAGCACCATACAAATAATTCCATTAATCATATGACTGCTTTGCTCCAGAAACCATCCAAAGGATGCAGCCATTTGAAAAGCAAACTTTAATGGAAAAATAATTATGAACAATTCAAAGTCATTAGCAGCGTGGAAGCAGAGTGGATGTGTGTGTGTTTGTGTGCTGGTGTGTCTCCAAGGAGGTCATTACTGAAAGGCTGGTTTAGTAAAGGTGTGTGTTAAGACTCTCAGTGCCATACGTTTGGAGGACTGGCTGATTACAGGCACAGAAGGTGTGGTGTATGTCAGGCCTACTGACTGCTGCCATACATAAAACACTTTTCAACATCAATTAGGAAATAATACATGCATTGTGATGCGGGCAGCACATTTACAGCTGCATCTGTGAAAAATAAAAAAAAGTGCCTCAATAATGGCATTTCCAGGCAAATACAATGAAAGGGTTTCTAGCACTGTGGTTTAAATCGGTGCCACATTTAGTCTTGTTAAAGTCGCAGTGCAGGTATTTCAGTACTCTGGCACAAACACAACCTTGTTATCTGCCTCATTACAGAAAGATATTGCAACCATTAAAGTTTCCATTTCTCATACAGGGCTTTAATCACCACATATACAGCTTTCACATTTCACATCTCTCTTGCTAAGTTCATTGTATATGCTGTTGGGAGTCACTGAGAAGTATAAAAAAGCACCATTTTTTCTTTTTGCTGTTTGCAAAAGTAAGTGTAACGTCATAATATAATTAAAAAAAAAACACCTTTGGTTAACTGTGTATCTTATATCTTAGTAATAGTTCAGCAATTTATTTCATCATTGGTTATTAAAGCATAAAAATGTAAGTACAGGTGCTAATGGAGGATGGATAGATGGATAAATCAGTAAATGTTTTCACCTTTTGTAATAGTTGTGTCTGAGTCGCTCAGTTGTCCTCAGTTTGAAATGATGGATCTCAAAATCATAGTCACTGCTGGAAAGGGGTCAAATATGCACAAGATGCTGGAAAGCCAAAGAATGAGCATGACCTGGAGGATTTTTCTGAAGAACAGCGGGCAGCTGACCTGCTCAGGACCAACAAAAAACTCATGAACAACTAACAGTCATGGATCATCCAGGTAACAAACCACAGTATTAAGATTCAAGGGTATGTAAACTTTTGAACGGGGTCATTTTTATATATTCAGTTATTATTTTGTTTTGTGGAGAATATATAAACATCTGTTATGTGAAATAGCTTATTCTGGACTGTGCTAAATAAAATATAACATACCATTTGCAAGATTCCTTTTATTTTATTCAAATGATTAACAGTTTGCATATTCTGCAAGGAATACGTAAAACAAAGTGCAAACAAATATGCCATAATTGCTTATATACATCTGCCAACGAACATGTGAGTGTGATTTGGGTTGGTTTTTATTAAAAATGGCCAGTAGTTGCCTAATGACACATTCTGTGTGAAACCTGATATCCACTTATCATTAATGGGTTTTTTTCTGTTTGAACTTTTCCTGTATTTTTTATATCCAGGTTTATACCCTCTGCTCTGAACTGTCACCTCTCTGACCCTCTGTTATTGATGCCATATCTGGCAGCAAAACTTATAAATTGTTTAATTGTGTGTGTGTGTGTGTGTGTGTGTGTGTGTGTGTGTGTGTGTGTGTGTGTGTGTGTGTGTCACACATTGAAGGAAGGTATATGAAAGATCTAAAACAGTCTGGCCTCATTAGAAATGGGGAACGTTATTAACGCTGCGCACCCAGGGCAACCTAGGAAGAAAGGGCCACATGGTCATATGACTTACTGACACCAGTAACAACACCAGCAGTCCCACAGTAAATCTCCACAACCTAATCAGACCAGTACTCCTAACTAACCCACATTAAATGCCTCTCTCTGTGGCACCAGTCATAATTTCAGTATTTTTTATTAAAAACTGTTGAAATTCCACATGCCATACATGACAGACAGACAGACAGACAGATAGACATAGACAGATAGACAGATAGACAGACAGATAGATAGATAGATAGATAGATAGATAGATAGATAGAAATACATAGAACGAAATAATGAAATCAATGATGTGCAGACGGAAAGATAAAATGAGAGATGCAGTATAATGACAGAATTATTATCCCATGAAAATGTATTCTACTGTAATCCAAGTGAAAATAACTAAATCAATAGTATTTCTATCCATTTCCGCCCTCTTTTGAAACATCTCATTGGCCACATCACACACACTTCCTGTCCTGCTGTTTTTACGCTATTGTATCCTCAAGG